GAGTTATATAGTTAATTGATATCATTCATGATTTGTATCCAATTTTTTGGGTAGAATTTTAGATTTCTGTGTCATTACAAAAGGTATAGTATAATGTCATACAGAGAGACAATCCTGTATTTGGTGTATATGTTTAGTGAATTACAAGTCCTCTGTACCGTAAATGTCTGAAAATAAACCCATGTCTAGTAATAAGCCCACTCACATATCTTTTGGAGTTCTTAAGAATTAGCCATCAGTACTTTTTCATTGTCCAACCCATAACTGTGAGACGAACTGGCCCCTTGAGCTTACTACTGGACAAATATTGTACCGTCACTTTTTAAATGATAAACAAGATTCACCATGTTCCATAATGACTAGAATAGGAATAGAACACAGATTGTTGATGTCTTCAGTAAAGACTTAGTAAAACACATTTTTTTCTGAATAGTAGAGTTTAGAAGATAAACGAGAGAAAATGCCCTTAAAATATTTGTTACAAGTCTAGAGTATCAGCCCCACCCCCACTGGAATCTGGACGGGGACTGTAGCTTCATTGTGTTTGTCCTCAATACCTCCATCCTTCAGTTATCTTGTTCTAGTTCTATCTCCTGCACTTGATTTCAATGGAACTTCCTACCTGGAGTATGGATTCACCTTTGTGCAGAGGTGTGAATAGTAGGTCATTCTTACCTACATTTTAACCTTTGACCTACATCAAAGAAAACATTTGTTTGGGACTCAAATTCACTGAATTGTCATGTTTCTATACAATGTTGGAATATGTAATAAAAATTGTTCGATGAGAAATATCAAGGACGCTTACAGTTGGTGGTGCTGTATACCAATCTCCATATCAGATGTATTCATGTTTCTACATGTCCATTGCGCCTTTTCTAAAAGCAGGAGAGGAGATAGAGTCAAATGGAGTTTGCTATAGACAACCCGTAACCTGGTTTCCCTAGTGAACTTAATGGACTGATTGATGACAAAGAAAGTGATGCACCATGTTAAGAAATTGGGTAGAGAAGCTTGCCAGATTTTTTTTATTACAAACCAAAAGTTGTGTATATTTAATGGGCTGTGTTTTCAAGACACAGAATGAACTGCTATGTAGTCCAGGAATCGCTGAAGACACTTTCATCTTTTGCACCTGCAGTAGCTGCGGAACTTAATTAATTGTGTTCTCACCTGTAAAAAAGATGATGCATATTGGCAAGAGTGAGGACAAAGTTGTATTGATTGGCTCTGCAGGATGCCTCCATCAATGTAGATGGATGAGTTCGTGTGATGGATACATACAGTGGTTCATTGAGGTCTAGAGAAACAGACTACGATGATACCATCCTCGACAAATTTTATAAAAAAAATAAAACCATAAAAAACAACTAAAATTCAATGTGATCTTGAAATTTGAAGTTAGCTCACCTATCATGAAAATGTTGGAAGCAGATGACACACAGGACGTGAAACCTGTTAAATAAACAAACAAATTGGAAGACAATAGATTTTTAAATGTTATTTACATTAGAACTCCTTTGATTGACAAATGCTAATGATGCATGTGTATCACTCTGCATTTAATTAAATTAATTAAAACGAAAAAAAAAGTTGATATGATAGATTTTTTAAGAGTAAATTGCCATGTGTGGTAGAACATATATTTATTAGGATAAAAGTGGTACTTATTTACCATTGATTCTGTTTAGGCTACTGACAAACACCTATAATCTCTTTAGGATAAGAATGAAATGTTCTCTATAAAATTCCATGTTGATGTGATTATAAGTTGAAGCCATGCCAATTAAAGCCACACTTTCCCTGTCCTTCAGATAACATAGGTGAAGACTTCAATGCAAGGGAGTTAATTTAGGTTAACTTTCTAAGATAAGAATTAATCGGTCAGTGTTTTCGCAAAAATAATCTTTTTGTTACGAAATTTACCCTTGACATGTTGTGTTTATTCTAATAACGATACAAAATTTCAAAAACTGATGCCAAAAAAAAAAAAAATGATGAAAAAATGTTTTGGTTTCGGAAATTTTTTAAAAAACCCTGAAGATGCAACAGTCAGTCTAGAACAGAACATATGATTATGTTAATGAAATTTTGCATGTCCATACAAGGACAAATAAGTTGATAGCATGAAGTCCCTTATTGATAATAAGTTCTCTCATCTCTTATCACAGTGCATTAGATCTTAAACAATGGGTGCTATTTCAAAGCCCTGGTACCAGCTGGTCGTCTGAATTTGAGTCTTAGGTATTTTGTTCAACTTGAACATATTCTCCTGAATTCAGCCCATTATCTGACTTTGAGTCTAAGGTATTGTGTTAGCAATGGATTTATTGCACTGAATGCATCCCAAATTTAACTTGAGGTTTGAGGTAAATCCTGGACTTATTGCCCTGTGGTATTCCGTTCTATTTGGATCTTTTCCCGTAATTTAGCCCATCATCTGTTTTGTGCTGAGGAAGTGTGTTAACCATGGGTTTATTGCACTGAATACATCCACTATTTAATTTTGAGTTTGAGTAATTGACTTATTACCCTGAATTCAGTCCATCATCTGACTTTGAATATGAGATATTGTGTTAAGTCTGTTTTTTTTGTCCTGAATTTAGCCCATCATCTAACTTTGAATATGAGATATTGTGTTAAGTCTGGTTTTTTTGTCCTGAATTTAGCCCATCATCTGACTTTGAGTATGAGGTATTGTGTTAAGTCTGGGTTTTTTGTGCTGAATTTAGCCCATCATCTGACTTTGAGTATGAGGTATTGTGTTAAGTCTGGGTTTTCTGTTCTGAATTTAGCCCATCATCTGACTTTGAATATGAGGTATTGTGTTAAGTCTGGGTTTTTGTGCTGAATTTAGCCCATCATCTGACTTTGAGTATGAGGTATTGTGTTAGATCTGGTCTTATTGAGTCTAAGGTATGGTGTTAAGATTCCAGTATATTTATAAGACCTTTCAATATACATCTGTTAAATAATGTAAAATAATACAATGGTAAGGGAGCTTGAGAAAATTTTACACTCCTGTCACATTCTGCATTAAATTTTCTGTCAATAAAGAATGTGGATTTATTGGATTTTGTGAATAGGAGGAAAGCTCATTTTCCCTTACCATATCTATACAGCTATAAATTCATGCCTGGTAATAAGACCACCCTTGTCAATAACAATTGTTATGTCCTTGTCCTTCAATAAGCCCACCCCCTACTTTAGAACAATTGCGAAACAAGTTTTTCCAGCGTTTATTAATTATTCTTGGTGGCACAGTAGTAAATTTGAGAGGGGTCTTACTGTGAGAGGAAACCAGAGTACCCGGGGAAAACCCTTGGGTTCTGCAGGTAACCCCCACACCTTTTCAGGAACTGAACCATAAACACCTAGGTGAAAGGTGAACGTATTACCACTGGACGACCCAGCCAACCTCCATTTTTAGAATTTGTTATAGTTAGATACAATTTATAAAGAATTCTGGGAAAATTGCCCCTTTTTTCTTGTTATGAAATTTGTGAAAATATATTTGAAGTAACAATTTGTAAATATTACCTATTCACTGTAGTGCATACTGAAATAGTAAATTACTAGGTTATATATAAATTTCACTTTATAATGTAGAAGTTTTGGCCTGTTTACACAGCTGATGTATTTAAATATTCTGTTGATATATTAGATATGATTTCCATGTTAGGTTAATTGCCTTAACCTGCATGCCAGTTGTGCTGCTCATGAATATTAATAAGCTACAACAGACATGTCTGGGTAGGATGTCAAGCCTCCAGCAGACCATGACTAAAAGGCCCTAAGGATGCACTTTCTACATCAATTTGATGTTTTTTCCACATTTACTGTAAATGACCTATGATCGTGATGGTTAAAAAACATTTACAATACCTGTGATTTATATGTTGATACATTGTTTTGTATACCAGTGTCATGATGTGACCAGACTGGGACATGCATAATATATATGTCTTTCCCTCGGTCATTGTTCTATCAGTTCATTTTAATTTGGTGTCCTCTTATTTACGTCCCATGGTGATATTAAACTGATGGTGTATTGTTGTAGTAAGAAGATGCAGTTCAGGTTACTTTTTGGTTCCGGTTGACTGATTTTGGAGTCACTGACCCACTGCGTCAGGATGATCGATAGTCATCATGTTTTTGTCTGGCGTTAGAAACCAAACTGCGCAGTGCTGAAGCTTGTCACATTTTCAATTTCTCAAGTTCCATCAGCCTAAGATGACCCTGAGAAGGTCTTGACCAAGTGTTTCTATATTATTATATATATGCTGCCATATCTTAAAAAAATCCACTTAAGTTCTACTGCTACCATTGTGCTGAAAGTTTGTGGAGGTGCAAGGGAAGCTGACAATGGGCTGTTATTTTTCAGTCCCCTGAAACTTGGACATGGAATCCATGGTATCCATTTTGTGTCATGATTACAAAATCATTTTATTCCTAAACAACAACTATTTTAAACTTCTTCTCAAGTTCAACCTAGGGGATTCATCTGAAACTTGCCTGAAATGATCCGGAAATGGCCCTGACAAAGTGTTATTATTTTTCTAGTCAGCCCAAAATCTTATATGGCTTCCTTGTTGGAAAACATTTGAAACCTCTAATTCAGTTTCTCTGGTGTCATTGATCTGAAATTTTTGGAGAAAGCTGAGAAACTGAAGTGAACAGTGTTTATGCTTTTGCAATTTGAAGTCCTGAAATATCATGATTTTTTTTAATTATTGAACAATTGTTTGTACTACATTTCTGCTATGATAGCATTAATAGGTCTTTACAGTCTGTTGAATGTTAAGGCCCATCAGTCTCTTATTTTACAGAGTTATGGCCCTTGGAAAAAATCAAGAAATTATCAGATTTTGCTTGTTTTCTGGTCTTTAGATATCAAACAATATTATTGAAAGACAATAGATTTTATTTTGGTATGTGTTCAGTACAATAGTGTTATGATGTGATATAGAAAAGTTAAAGGATTTATTTTTTACTTTCAGGGTGTGAAGGTTTATGATGACATTGACATTGACCAGATTCTTGCAGAAAACCAAGAAAACACAAGAAGGTAACACTTAGTGATCAAAATCAATCAAATGTTTGTTTATATCAATCAGGATCAAGCAGATGAAAAGTTCTATGGTCTCAGGTAAAATATTAGAGCTAGCAGTCACACATTGTCAGGTGAGAGTTTAGAGATATGGTCATATAATGTCAGGTGAGAGTTTAGAGATATGGTCAAACAATAAAAGGTCAGGTGAGAGTAAATATGTATCAGGTCTACAGTGTCAGGTGATAGTATATATGTATCAGGCCTACAGTGTCAGGTGATAGTATATATGTATCAGGCCTACAGTGTCAGGTGATAGTATATATGTATCAGGTCTACAGTGTCAGGTGAGAGTATATATGTATCAGGCCTACAGTGTCAGGTGAGAGTATATATGTATCAGGCCTACAGTGTCAGGTGAGAGTATATATGTATCAGCCTACAGTGTCAGGTGAGAGTATATATGTATCAGGCCTACAGTGTCAGGTGAGAGTATATATGTATCAGGCCTACAGTGTCAGGTGATAGTATATATGTATCAAGCCTACAGTGTCAGGTGAGAGTTTATATGTATCAGGCCTACAGTGTCAGGTGAGAGTATATATGTATCAGGTCTACAGTGTCAGGTGAGAGTATATATGTATCAGGCCTACAGTGTCAGGTGATAGTATATATGTATCAGGCCTACAGTGTCAGGTGAGAGTATATATGTATCAGGTCTACAGTGTCAGGTGAGAGTATATATGTATCAGGCCTACAGTGTCAGGTGATAGTATATATGTATCAGGCCTACAGTGTCAGGTGAGAGTATATATGTATCAGGCCTACAGTGTCAGGTGAGAGTATATATGTATCAGGCCTACAGTGTCAGGTGAGAGTATATATGTATCAGGCCTACAGTGTCAGGTGATAGTATATATGTATCAGGCCTACAGTGTCAGGTGAGGGTATATATGTATCAGGCCTACAGTGTCAGGTGAGAATATAGAGAGCTCAAATTATGATTTCTATCTTTGTTTCAATAGAAATTCTGAAGGGAATGAAGAAACCAACCTCTACGAAATTCCTGTGTTAAAACGACTTCCTTTCCAAGATGAAAACAGTGATGGGAAATCAGAAAGACCAAACAAAGATGGTCTCGGTGAATCTATATCAACAGAACCAGGCAATACAGAAAAAGGAGATGCCATGCCTCCACCTCTACCCCCACCTCTCCCTCCTCGCAGAGAACGAGCTCTTTCAGATGCTCAGAGCCGGAGTTCTGCTGGAAGTGTCTTGGAGGATAAACCACCAAGTTTGCCAGAAAGACCAAATCTACCTTCAAAATCAGAGATTTACAAACACGATTCCAAATCCGAGAAATCGCTTGATACCATGGATGAGCTTGGTATGTAACATTTATTTATCCTGATGATGTTAGTTATAATGCATCCTGTGATTTCTCTTCATTTCCTTGTAACTTGTTCATCTGTCTATGTCTGTCCATATGTCTGTGCCTTTAGTTTTTTGTCAATCTGCCTGTGCCTTTAACATGTCTGTATCTTTAGTCTTCTGTCCATCTGTCTGTATCTGATGTATGTCTGTTCATCTGCCTGTGCCTTTAGTTTTCTATCCATCTGTCTGTGCCTTTATATATCTGTCCATCTGTCTGTGCCTTTAGTCTTCTGTCCATCTGTCTGTATCTTTAGTATGTCTGTCCATCTGTCTGTGCCTTTAGTCTTCTGTCCATCTGTCTGTATCTTTAGTATGTCTGTCCATCTGCCTGTGCCTTTAATATGTCTGTCTATCTGTCTGTGCCTTTAGTCTTCTGTCCATCTTTCTGCTCTGTGCCTTTAGTATTTCTGTCCATCTGCCTGTGCCTTTAGTATGTCTGTCCATCTGTCTGTGCCTTTAGTCTTCTGTCCATCTGTCTGTATCTTTAGTATGTCTGTCCATCTGCCTGTGCCTTTAGTATGTCTGTCCATCTGCCTGTGCCTTTAGTCTTCTGTCCATTTTTCTGCTCTGTGCCTTTAGTATGTCTGTCCATCTGTCTGTGCCTTTAGTCCTCTGTCCATCTGTCTGTTCCTTTAGTCTTTTTTTTTTATCTGTCTGTCTTTCTGTCAATCTGTGTCTTAAGTATTTTTTTCGCATGTCTGTATCTAAGTCTGTCCATACATCTTCCTGTAGCCTTTCTTTACATTTAAAATGTCCGCTATAGTCTTTCTGTTCATCTGTCTGTGTGTATGTTGTTTTTTTCCTGACTGAATGACAGATTTAAACTTCAAGACACAGTCAAACTTTGTTGAATGTTCTACATCAAATAAAAAAAATCTGAATGTAAATACAGAATTGATCCTCACTTATAAATTACTGAACCACTGTGCCCATGGGTGATCTTATTATTTCTGGTGAGAAAGCAGCCATTAGATCTAATCTTAATCACAAGTCGTATTGTTGATCATTTCTGCCTAATATCTTGTGCCTGTAAATGATGGATTCAGTCAGATTTTGTGAATATTGCTGAGGAAGAAGTGTCTTTTCTTTTTTTCTTCTTCAGACAAAAAGTTACCTTATTTTATCAAACACGATCAGCTGAACACAAAACATAAACCTTTTGAAGTCCCAAGTGATATTTTATGATTTAAGAGAATTTTTAGTTGTAGAATTTCCTGTTTTCATGGCCCCTGATAGACTTGATAGAGCTGCTCTACAAAGGCACACCAAACAGTGCTATCAAGGATGGGAATCTTTCCGTTTAATATTTCTTGTATACCCCATGTGGTGAGGATTGACGTAATATGTTGAGAGTGGGTAATAATATCATATTTATAAATACAGGAATGTTGATATCAGCCAGTAAGTTACATTACCTTATAATAACGTTTTATTTAAAGTATTCGAGAAAATTCTATCGAAGAAGATACCATATTGCTTCCTTGTAATCCTTCATGTCCTTTCTAAATCAAAGTTGTTTATATAAAAATGTTGATTGATGATCGTTAACTATGATTTCCAAATGTTTCACCGCGAGACATCAACATCCCACCTCGGTCATTAGAAGTTCTTGCCAAGTGTTTCTGTATGATATAACATATTTATACATACCCTCCCCAACCTCCCCATTCCTCTCCTCTCTTACCTATTCCACCGCTGCAGAGATATTTTGATAAATATTACGTCATTGACCTGTAATAAGCCCATCCCTCTCAGATATCAAGTGTTGGACCCTAGACTTGTTGTTGTTTTTGGTCTTTTGAAACCTTACTTTCCTGTTTAACAAAAACACTGCTTGGATCAAAATATCAGCATTTATTTTAAGTCTATAGATACTAAACACACAATTCTGTTTCCTATTGACTGGTTGTTGTGTGTGCTGTAAGTAATACCTCATTGTTATGGCATGCTTTCATTATCACCTTCCCTTGACAGGTCATGACAGTCTACCACATTTTGTTCAAATGACAAAATGACCTTGACCTTCTTTCAAAGTAATGATACTGATCAGATGAATCTGATTGATATCTCAACATATTATGACCTCGTCATCAATTAAAACAAATGTTGAGATTTATTTTGTTTTATGTATTGATTCACTTGATCCTTTGTTTAAGAGAACAACTTTTCTTTAAAAAATAAGTGGCCTTTCAGAACAGTTGACCTCTGTAAGGAGGTTTATTAATCTGAGAAGTGGCTTTTCAGCTCATTTGGCCTCTGTATACAGGTCCATTAATCTGAGAAGTGGCCTCTGAAAACAGTAGGCCTCTGTATACAGGTCCATTATTCTGAGAAGTGACCTCTGTATACAGGTCCATTAATCTGAGAAGTGGCCTCTGAAAACAGGTGACCTCTGTTAACAGGTCCATTAATCTGAGAAGTGGCCTCTGAAAACAGGTGACCTCTGTTAACAGGTCCAATAATCTGAGAAGTGGCCTCTGAAAACAGGTGACCTCTGTTAACAGGTCCAATAATCTGAGAAGTGGCCTCTGAAAACAGTAGGCCTCTGTATACAGGTCCATTATTCTGAGAAGTGACCTCTGTAAACAGTAGGCCTCTGTATACAGGTCCATTATTCTGAGAAGTGACCTCTGTAAACAGTAGGCCTCTGTATACAGGTCCATTATTCTGAGAAGTGACCTCTGAAAACAGTAGGCCTCTGTATACAGGTCCATTAATCTGAGAAGTGGCCTCTGAAAACAGGTGACCTCTGTTAACAGGTCCATTAATCTGAGAAGTGGCCTCTGAAAACAGGTGACCTCTGTTAACAGGTCCAATAATCTGAGAAGTGGCCTCTGAAAACAGTAGGCCTCTGTATACAGGTCCATTAATCTGAGAAGTGGCCTCTGAAAACAGTAGGCCTCTGTATACAGGTCCATTAATCTGAGTAGTGGCTTCTGAAAACAGTAGGCCTCTGTATACAGGTCCAATAATCTGAGAAGTGGCCTCTGTATACAGGTCCATTAATCTGAGAAGTGGCCTCTGAAAACAGTAGGCCTCTGTATACAGGTCCATTATTCTGAGAAGTGGCCTCTGTAAACAGGTCCATTAATCTGAGAAGTGGCCTCTGAAAACAGTAGGCCTCTGTATACAGGTCCATTATTCTGAGAAGTGACCTCTGTAAACAGTAGGCCTCTGTATACAGGTCCATTATTCTGAGAAGTGACCTCTGTAAACAGTAGGCCTCTGTATACAGGTCCATTATTCTGAGAAGTGACCTCTGTAAACAGTAGGCCTCTGTATACAGGTCCATTAATCTGAGAAGTGGCCTCTGAAAACAGTAGGCCTCTGTATACAGGTCCATTAATCTGAGAAGTGGCCTCTGAAAACAGTAGGCCTCTGTATACAGGTCCATTAATCTGAGAAGTGGCCTCTGAAAACAGTAGGCCTCTGTATACAGGTCCATTATTCTGAGAAGTGACCTCTGAAAACAGGTGACCTCTGTTAACAGGTCCATTAATCTGAGAAGTGGCCTCTGAAAACAGTAGGCCTCTGTATACAGGTCCATTATTCTGAGAAGTGACCTCTGTATACAGGTCCATTATTCTGAGAAGTGGCCTCTGTAAACAGGTCCATTAATCTGAGAAGTGGCCTCTGAAAACAGTAGGCTTCTACAGGTCCATTAATCTGAGAAGTGGCCTCTGAAAACAGTAGGCTTCTACAGGTCCATTAATCTGAGAAGTGGCCTCTTTAAACAGATTAATTAATCGGAGAAGTGGCCTCTGAAAACAGCAGGCCTTTGTAACTACATTTACTTATGCCATGGAGTGTCCTCTGTGGGCAGGTTGCCTCTTTAAGCAGGTTTGTTAAGCTATGAAATGGCACCTTAAGACTTGGATGTATTTTTGACAGTCTGGTTTCAATTCAACTGAAATCTATTTTGTAACAGCATGCAGATATATGAAATACCAGCTTCATGCATAAAGATCAAGATATTTTCCGTGTAATTATCAGGTTCTTGTTTTCACATGTCTAGGCAGCCTCTGACAGACTAAATCTCCGATCAGGAACACATGTTTGGCCTCCCTATATCCCTCAATCCTAACATTGTTGATCAGCCACTGTTTCTGATGTATCTGTTAGAAATCAGTGTTGATAGATCCAACAAAATTACAGGGCTTCTCAGTCACATGAGTGATACATTCAAACCAAACAACTGTTTATCTCAAAATTTACAAATCATTACAACATTGCTTGGATTGATATCACATTCCAATATTTGATAACACACATGTGTATTTTTTAATCCTTACAGAAAACAGCTTGTAAACATTTATTTATAAATGTATATGATAAATTTGCTGTAATGAAGAATAACTAGTAAACGTTTGTTAATTAGTTTTGTAATGCATCAGAACAGAAATAACTCAAAGTTCTCACATGAATCTAGAAAGAATTTTAAAATAAAAAATTTTCTGATAGGAAGATGTGTCAGGGAGATCCACCTGTATACAGGACTTATTGTAACTCATAAGGTTTAAGGGGGCTTATTAGTGATGGGAAAGCAGTTAAAATCCAAAATGGATTATCGGTTAAAATTGGTTAAGATTTTTGTGGCAGTTTATCGCTTACATAATTGGCAGACTGTTTGTTCAATATTATACCATTTCTGTGTGGCAATATTTTCTATTTTTTGTAACTTTACTCTAAAAGTCTAAAATATCTCGCCTAGAATTTACCTAGAAAGGAAATGTATTCTGTTTGGCAATATTTCCCTGGTTTTTATGCCCCCGCCATTTATGGCCAGGGGCATATAGCATTGCCCATGTCCGTCCATCCGTCCCGTCCCGTCCCGTCCCGTCCCATCGCGTCCCGTCCCGTTGCGTCGCATCCCGTCCCGTCCCGTCCCGTCCCAAATCAGTATATACCACCTAACAACTTCATTTGGACCTTTCACTATTATTTCACATGGGGGGGCGGGGGCATTCATGTCTTACAGACATTTTCTAGTTTGTAACTGTAGTCTAAAAATCTAAAATATATTACCTAATATTTCCCTAGGAGTGGATACTGTTGGCAAATAGCATCTTGATCATTTATAACATGAACTTTATTTTTGCTAAAACACAAGAAAATATTGAGATACAGATAATTGATTATAAAACTACAATCTATCATGGCATTAGATGGGGTTAAATCATTAAATAATCAATTATGTTTAATCATCGTCCTATCACTAGTGCTAATACACTGAAACGAGGCAAAAGTTTGAGTCACATGTAATTACATTTATCTGTAACTGGAAAAAAAAACTACAGGAAACAAAATGATGACATCACATGTTATGTGTTGTGTTTAGTTTTTGTCTTTCTTGTTAAAATAAACAAAAACAATTATTTGCGTATTATTTAAAGGTTTTTTTGTTTGTATTTACAGACAATTGTGACGGGACGTCTTATGAGTCTTACGAGGAAGAATACCAACAACAAGATGTTGACGCCATGAACAAGTTCAACATCAAACTACCAAAGTAGGTTTAGTATCGCTATGACAACCAACAGTCAAGGAATACAATAGAAAATGGGAAACGGGGTCACAGTATTGAGGGGTTAAAACAATTAGGAAAAAGTTTTGTCAAAACAGGGATTACATGGGTCAAAAGATAGGAAGGTAAAAAGGGGTCAGAATTGATGGATCATGGCAAAAGGGTTGAAAAGTCAAAACATAGGGGAGGGTCTTGACTAAGGTGTCATAGCAAACAAAGGGTTAATAGGAAAGAAATTAAGATGAAGCAGTTACAGCAGGCTGTTTGAAGAACTAAATGGCTCAAAAAAATTCATAAATATTAATGGCGTACGTGTCTCACTTGCAGGCCTTTAAAGAAATCTAAGAGAAACCAGAAAATTTCGAAGTCTCGCTCCTCCAAGGAATGGGATATTGCTCTGCCATTCAGCTGTCTAGAGGAGGTGACTTTGTCAGGAGAGCTTCAGTACAAAGGGAAGTTATCCTGGACACGGAAGCTGATAGCTCTCACAGACGGACGGATGGTGTGTTACAAACCAGACAAAGCTGACAGTAAACCCGCTCTTGTGATCAACTTGACTGGATATGATGCTAGCTTTGTGGAGCGTGATAATCACCGAGGCTTTGATATCCGTCTGATGCATCCGGCTATGGAATTGCATCACTTCTTAACCGACTTCAAGGACTGGGCCAACATGTGGTGTGAGGTTAGAGTTCACAGATGTAAAGTGCAATATTCCTGGAAATTTAATTTTGCTTTGTTATGAGTCATTACAGGTAGCAAAAAATTATTATTTATCCAGTGAATGTATATCACATACTTCTATACTGGTTCAGCTGTGATATCTTATATGCAAAGTTTTTAACAAGAGCGTGATATGTGAAATTCTATCCCCACATATAAGTACCTACAGGAACAACAGGGAAATGAACAGCTCTGTCTCACAGTAATATTGGAAAATTAATCAGAGTTAAAGAGCCTCTGTTTTAGACTCAAAACATTTTTTCAAAAATAATTCTGGCTCACAAAAATTTTTGGGATAGTATATATGCTTGGTCTGTTCTTTCGTGTCTGGAGTTTAACTTTGCCTGCAGTTAAGCTAGGATCATGATACAAGGTGTATACATCGATCACATTCAGACGATTATAGAGTTATTTTTATTTCTTGTCCAGATCAAAACTTTGCCTGCATTAGAAGCAGGAAAATGAAATTAAGACTGTATATTGATTACACAAAGAGGATGTGCAGCGTACCAAATTCAGGGCCCACAACCCCTTAATTACAGCATTATTGCCCTTTGTTTAAAAATTTTATGTCCAATTTTGCTTTCATTTAACTGGGATATTGTAACTTGGCGGACACATTGGTTGATACTGAGAGAAAGTACAATATATCAAATTCAGTGCCTGAAACCCCTTTATTACAGAGTTATTGCCCTTTGTTGTCCAATATAGGCTTTTTTTGGGAGCATTCATCAGTTTGATATTATTGAATACTTCAAGAAATATATTGAAATGCTATCTGGAAATGTTATTTTAGTGGTTAGAACTATGCTTTGTTAAATGATTTGTGTGTGCTTGCTGTTTTACAGTATGTGAATCACATGTCCCAGGGTAAACCTCCACCTGGTCAGTATCATCACCTCGCACGCGGCTCCACCTTCACTGGCCTGGCAGCCAGTCATGTGTATGGTAGTAAGGTAAGGACCTATAACAATCACACACACTTGTATAGCAGTATGATCACACAATAGGAAGGATAGATATTCTTATGAAATTAGTACCAGTAATATTACAATGTTGAGCTGTGTCCATCCCTTTGTCGGAGGAACTATTCATTCTCAAAAAGAAAACTATTCAACTGATCTCTGCAAAACTTCATATCAAGCTATTAGATAGTAAAAACAATTTTTTTGCCTTCAATTTTTATCTGTGATACCATGGAGAAAATACTTGTGGAGAGGTCATACCAAGTTGTGGGTATGCTGGTTATGCTCCCTTTTTGACTCCTTGTTATGGTTTCTAAATTCCAAAGAATTCCGATGATGATAATTGTAGTCTTTGATGACTTTCTGGTTCACGCTACTGAGATGACACACCCAAGATAATCAACACACAGGTCTTTCCAAAACGAAAAGTACAAAGCAATTCCTTCCAAAGGGGAATTACTCTATAATTATAATATAACGTGGTGGTACGCTTTTGGGAAAACCTAAAAAACTTTTAACTTTTAACTCCCCCACCCCCCCGCAAAAAAAGAGATTTCTGGTATATATGGATTAATTGTCTTTCCAAGAATCTTTTGTAGAAATTTGATTCAAATCTGATAATAATCTTAGAGAGTAAAAAAAGTGATTGCAAAATAATAAGGGAGGGGAAAAAAACAATATTTAATAATAATTTATTGTTTTGTATTCTGGTGGATTAAATCCATTTATTTATAATTTTATCTTTTTTTATCAGACTGACATTGGCCATTCTGCATCCAACCTCTCCACATGTAGCAGTGATAACCAAGAATTTGATCCTTCATCTCTTAAACGTCGTAAACGAAGTAAGTTTGACTACATCCTGTCACCAAAATCCTCTTCATCGGACATTGTAAGTCAACCAGATTTGTGTCTGACACAGTAATGGAACATCCTGTAAAACGATTTGTGTCTGACACACAGTAATGGAATATCCTGTAAAACGATTTGTGTCTGACACACAGTAATGGAATATCCTGTAAAACGATTTGTGTCTGACACACAGTAATGGAATATCCTGTAAAACGATTTGTGTCTGACACACAGTAATGGAATATCCTGTAAAACGATATGTCTGACACACAGTAATGGAATATCCTGTAAAACGATATGTCTGACACACAGTAATGGAATATCCTGTAAAACGATTTGTGTCTGACACACAGTAATGGAATATCCTGTAAAACGATTTGTCTGACACACAGTAATGGAATATCCTGTAAAACGATTTGTGTCTGACACACAGTAATGGAATATCCTGTAAAACGATTTGTGTCTGACACACAGTAATGGAATATCCTGTAAAACGATATGTCTGACACACAGTAATGGAATATTCTGTAAAAAGAATCATTATAGACTTTTGTTAGTATTGTATATCAAACATTTTTATCATAGGAATTCTGATGTGATTCTTGTAAATGCTAAATGATATTCTAAAACATTTAAACCACTTTGCAGTATACACATGTATATTGATAACTGAGGTATAATTTCTTGAAGTTAAGAATTTAGAAATAAGAGAGAGTTTCTGATTTCAGATCAATTTTTTTAAAATCACCTTCTAGATACAGTATCTGATATTAGCTTGATGTATTAAAATAGATATAGAAGCTATTTAGTTTCTAAATTGGATTAGTTTCCAAAGTTAAAAATGAATAAATCTTAGAAATGAATATGAAATATCGTTGCTAGATAAAGTACATATCATTACAATAGTTTCATAACTTATCATTAAAATTAGATGCTAGATTAAGTACTGGTTGATTATTGTTGTTAACATCATACAAGGGAGATAACTCTTCAGTTACTCACATTTCACAAGGGAGATAACTCTTCAGTTACTCCCATTTCACAAGGGAGATAACTCTTCAGTTACTAGCATATCTAAAAGGAGAGGTCTTTAGCACCAAGTTTACACAATAAAAGCCTCAGACCACAATTAATTTCCCTCTATGTTTTTACAGAGAAAAATAACAACTATAAATATTTTGAAATTTTTCAAAGGATATATTTATTTTAATTTGTATGTCTATGTAAGCTAAACTTACAGTGAGCTGAAATGCATCTAATGACCATTAAAAAAAACCTGAAAGATATTTCCATTTGAATATCAATACACTATAAGAAAGTGAGGAAAATTTCACAAAATCAATAAATAATCCTAATTTCACACATAAACCTGAACCTTTGTCAAAAGAAAGCACCTCTAAAACAGATTTCCACAAAAATATGTACATTTCTGCCACAGATCAGGCAGGTAAATTATTTACTAACTGAAACGAAATTTTGTTGTGGGCAGCATTCAAGTACATTGGCCTGGAAGTATAATTGTTGTCTGAGCTAGCAAGGGAAACATACAGATAACTCCCCAGTACTAACATCACACAAGGGAGACAACTCCCCAGTACTAACATCACACGAGGGAGATAACTCCCCAGTACTAACATCACACAAGGAAGATTACTATTTGGTACTAATTTGGAGTAGTCCTACTACAGCATTACTAACATCAATAGTGTTAAGCCATTTCAATAATTTGATGTTCCCAATAGCAACCCTTAGTGTTCAAGACAATCAGACATATCATGGTAATAGTGTTCCAGTCGTTCATGTATAAACAGACTGAACTCGAGATATAATTGACCAGCTTCCTTGTAAGTAGTTAAATGATTTCACAGGGAATTGTTAGGCCTTGATTCTCAATATGTGTGTTGGACTCACAGATGAGGGAAGAAACTTTAATTGAGAAGTGCCTATTGTGATCATTTTGACCTTTAATTGACCTTTATTTACAGTGGAAGCATCTGATACACAACTTCACCTGATTTTGAGAGGTATACTAGAGCTAGAACTTAAACTTTGACCTTCCTCATTGCTTGACCTTTCACCCTCCCTCATTACCTGACTTGACCTTCCATTTATGCTTGACCTTTGACCTTACCTCAATGCCTGACTTTTGACCTACTATCATTGCTTGACCTTTGACCTTCCTTCATTGCCTGACTTTTGACCTTCTCTCATTGCTTGACATGTTACCATTTTCATTGTTTGACCTTTGATCCTCTGGTATTGCTTGGCCATGATTGCTTGCCTTGATAACCTAAGCCTGCATTTACTAGGTCAAGACCTTTCACCTTATGACCCTTGACAAATTTTTACTGCAATTCATATTGAACCACTATACTAACAAATGAAAATTGTTTTTCATACAAATATATTTGTATTCATTAAGAAATAGGGAGTTTTTTTTTTCTCTTTATACAAGGTGTAATGATGATCATTTTTCCTTGAATTAGAGTATTTCATGTGCTTGTTTTTCCATGAGTCCTTGCCTGATTTCTCCAAATTTTTTTTCCCAAAAATTAACTTAATTCAAACAATTTTCAGCAAATTACTAAGATTAGTTTTACCCTCTAGAGTATCAGGCTTTGACACTGTGGTACTGATGTTGCCGTATATTTCCATGACATAAAGCTAGAGAGCAAGCTTCTTAAATAATCTCCTATACATGTGTGGCATGTAATGGAAAGCCACAACTTTCTTGCAGAATTAAACTGATATGGTATCCTTCTCCCTGCGCACTGTTTATAAATTTGAAAGATTTGATATATTGAATTAAGCCTTGAAAGGTGTGTCTGTGGGAGAAAACCTTGTAAAAACCCACATGGTAGGGAGTAAGATGCCATACCTGTTCCACATGTCCAGGAAATCAAACCCTGGATGCCTAGGTGAACGGCTTAGTACCTTATCATTGTACAGGCTTCTTTAGTATTATCATCTCATATATATGTGTTCCTGTCTGATTGTTCCACACATCAATGCCTGAGCTGGCTTAGATCAAATCTGATTTAAGGGAAGGTTGAAAAAGTAGAAATCTGTCTTGGAATAGTTGAGAAAAGGGAAAGTACTTACTGGATGTTAGGCCAGATCGGTGATGTCTGAATATTCAGCAAAACCAGATTAGGGGAGACTTGCAAGTGGAACAACCAGATTAGTGGTGAGTGGGACAACCAGATTAGTGGTACGTGGATAATAGGACAACCAGATTAGTGGTGGGCTGATAGTGGGACAACCAGATTAGTGGTGGGCTGATAGTGGGACAATCAGATTAGTGGTGACTGGATAGTGGGACAACCAGATTAGTGGTGGGTAGATAGTGGGACAATCAGATTAGTGGTGGGTAGATAGTGGGACAACCAGATTAGTGGTGGGTAGATAGTGGGACAACCAGATTAGTGGTGGGCTGATAGTGGGACAACCAGATTAGTGGTGAATGGATAGTGGTACAATCAGATTAGTGGTGGGCTGATAGTGGGACAACCAGATTAGTGGTGGGCTGATAGTGGGACAATCAGATTAGTGGTGACTGGATAGTGGGACAACCAGATTAGTGGTGGGTAGATAGTGGGACAATCAGATTAGTGGTGGGTAGATAGTGGGACAACCAGATTAGTGGTGACTGGATAGTGGGACAACCAGATTAGTGGTGGGTAGATAGTGGGACAATCAGATTAGTGGTGGGTAGATAGTGGGACAACCAGATTAGTGGTGGGTAGATAGTGGGACAACCAGATTAGTGGTGGGCTGATAGTGGGACAACCAGATTAGTGGTGAATGGATAGTGGTACAATCAGATTAGTGGTGGGCTGATAGTGGGACAACCAGATTAGTGGTGGGCTGATAGTGGGACAATCAGATTAGTGGTGACTGGATAGTGGGACAACCAGATTAGTGGTGGGCTGATAGTGGGACAACCAGATTAGTGGTGAGTGGATAGTGGGACAATCAGATTAGTGGTGGATGGATAGATTGTACCCAAATGAATTAGATAATGAACAATATTTTCCAAAATGAGATTTTTGTTCTGTAGCAAGTACTCTGACATTTTGTTTACAGAACATTCCAGAAAAGTCAGTAGAATGGGATCAATAGCGTTTCGTGCCACACAGTTTTTTGAAAACATTGGTAAAAAGCCGACTACAAAGAAGTCCGCGTCCTTCCACAGTCCGTCAACTATGAGCCTTGGAGACCTACAGGAGACACGGATGAGTACATGTAGTGACTCCCTAGGATTCTCTCCCCTTCCCACTCCAACCTCGTCTGTTCCTGATACGCCAGTCTTCCTGGAACCCACAAATGACAACAGCTTTACAAGGTCTCCTGTGGAGAAAAAAATGTGCCATATTGACCCACGTATTAAACATCAAGGTAAGCTAACTGACTTGCTCCTCTCCATGTAAATCTGAAACACTGTGTAAGCTTTCACTTACATCAATGTCACTGCCTTAAAAACTGTTCACTTCAGTATTATAAAGTGTAAAACTTACACAATCAAACTGGGAATAAATTTGGTAAACTACAATAAAACACAACTCTCTTAAATAAAAAAAAATTGTTTCGTGAAAAATCTTTTATTTCTCTTGCATATTTCTCCTATTACTCACAACAAACATGTGTGAAATGTTCAAACCTTACACATATAGAAAAAAATTTCTCTGTGTGATAAATTCTACACAATTCTGTTTGCTTGACTGAACAACTGTATTTAGGAGGATTTTATGTCATGGATGACTTCACATGCATCTATTATGATAATTGCTTTTACAGAAATACTGGAGATAATATTTAAATAGAAGAATGCAGCTTTGTATAAATTGTAGTCATTGACCTTAAGACCTTAAGACTCATAAACACTTGAGAAATTTCATCTGTTGAATAAAGTTTAGGCAGTTCAGTTTTCAAGAGATGTGCATCAGAAAATTTGATGATAGTAAAGCGAGGAACACAAATTTACCTGAAGTTAAATATTTCTATGCAGGAGAAAAAGAATAACAACCTTATTTTAAAGGGAAGATTTCAAAAACAGCAACAATTAAGTTTACTTTGTTTTGGTCTGAAATGTTTCCTAAATTGACTAAAAACTTTTATGTAAAACTTTCTAATTACACCTCCAACACTGCTCTTATTTCATAATTAATTTCATCCTAACTATAGGAGTGATTTTAGGACAATTAATTACAGAAATTGTATATTTTCATTGAATAATGAAAAATCTTGATATGGTAAAAACAGCTTTAATCTCATTCCATCAAAACTCGCTTATCACTGAACATGGGTTATTACTGGACACAGGGTTATTACTGGATACAGGGTTATCACTGGACACAGGGTTATTACTGGACACAGGGTTATTACTGGATACAGGGTTATTACTGGACACAGGGTTATTACTGGACACAGGGTTATCACTGGACACAGGGTTACTGGATGCAGGGTTATAAGTGGACACAGAGTTATTACTGGACACAGGGTTATTACTGGATACAGGGTTATCACTGGACACAGGGTTATTACTGGACACAGGGTTATTTCTGGATACAGGGTTATCACTGGACACAGGGTTATTACTGGATACAGTGTTATCACTGGACACAGAGTTATCACTGGACACCGGGTTGTCACTGGAGTCAGGATTATCACTGGACTCAGGGTTATTACTGGATACAGGGTTATCACTGGACACAGGGTTATTACTGGACAAGGTTATCACTGGACTCAGGGTTATCACTGGACACAGGGTTATTACTTGACACAGGGTTATCACTGGACGCAGGGTTACTGGATGCAGGGTTATAAGTGGACACAGAGTTATTACTGGACACAGGGTTATTACTGGACACAGGGCTATCACTGTACACAGGGTTATTACTAGACACAGGGTTATTTCTGGATACAGGGTTATCACTGGACACAAGGTTATTACTGGACACAGGGTTATTACTGGATACAGTGTTATCACTGGACACAGGGTTATCACTGGACACTGGGTTGTCACTGGAGTCAGGGTTATCACTGGACTCAGGGTTATTACTGGATACAGGGTTATCACTGGACACAGGGTTATTACTGGACAAGGTTATCACTGGACTCAGGGTTATCACTGGACACAGGGTTATTACTGGACACAGGGTTATCACTGGACGCAGGGTTACTGGATGCAGGGTTATAAGTGGACACAGAGTTATTACTGGACACAGGGTTATTACTGGACACAGGGCTATCACTGTACACAGGGTTATTACTAGACACAGGGTTATCACTGTACACAGGGTTATTACTGGACACAGGCATATTACTGGACACTGAAAAAATACAGAAATATTTCGTTTCACTTTTACAGGCTATCTGCACATCTACAGCAGTTTCAACCGGAGACGTTGGGGGCGTCGCTGGTGTGTGATACGTGGCAGTATGTTTGAGTGTTACCGTACAAAAAACAGTACTGTATGTGAACTCGAGGTCTGGCTACGAAACTGTTTCCTGCGCCGTGCCACTGAGGAGACAAAGAGTGAACTAGGACTGATGTTGGTAGAGAAAGAAGTGGAGAAAATTACAGTAGAGGTATTAAGATGTGTGACTTGCTGGAGGTTCTGTCACATCACAATGGAGAAAGCTTATTTTTGTTCTCTTTCCCCCTCCATCTTTTAGATTTTAGCTCACCTGGTCTGAAGGACCCTTGGGGCAAGAGAACCAAATTTGTATAAATGGATCTCAGCCCCTTGGGTCAAGAGGGGCATGACCCTAAATGGGAAATTTTGTAAGTTCTATAAAATCCTACTCCTCCCATAGGAATGATTGGATTTTGCCCAAATTTTTTCTGAAGCATCTTTAGGCAACAGAAACACAATTTTGTATAAACAGTGGAATTTGGACCACTGGGGCAGAAGAGGCAGGGCCCAAAATGGGAAATTGGGAAATAGAGCAAATATTTAAAAGCCTACTCTACCTGGAGGAATGATTGGATTTTGTCCAAATTTGGTCTGAAGCATCCTTAGTCAACAGTGTAAACAGTGAGACTTGGGGCCTTCTGGAGGGGAGGAGTGGGGCCAAATAGAAGAAATGGAGCAAGTTCTTGAAAAAGCTTCTTCTGCAGGAATGCCTTGATTTTGTCCCAAATTAGTCTTAGGCATGCTTAGTGGGTAAAGGGCATCAGCTTTGTGTAAACATTGAGTGTTAGACCTCTAGGGGATGAGGGGCACAGAGCCCAACTACAAAAGTAGGGAAATTTCTTTAAAATCCTTTTTTATGGTAAAACCTTGATTCTGTCGTGATTTGGTCTGAAGCATACCTGATTGAATTTTAAAAGATATCTGTCAAATTTTGAATTCTTTGTAAAACGACTAAAAATTTGTCAAATGCTGATACTTTTATACATGGGTGCATAGGGATTCTTGTCTTACAGATATTTTTTAATTTGAACATGTTTTCATACACATTTTGGTACAATGTGCTACTGTCCCTTCCAGCCCCTTGACCGGTCCGAGATGGGGAGCTGGTTACGGTCGCTGATGAATGAGAGTATGACACAGCAGATTCCTGAAGGGCTGGAGGAAATGTGGGAAGACGAGTCGCCGTACCACGACATCAAAACAGAGGACCTTAACTCATCAGATGGCTTCCATTACGAGGTTTGTTTTTTTGAAAGTCAACAAAGAAACGAAATGCTACGAGTTATTATTTTTTAAAAATAGAACTATTGAACTGATATCCATGTCCATCCTTGTAAAGCATAGAACTGAATTACTTAATGAAGTTGATAACGAGAGTATTTAAGAATGGTCTATTTGTATTTTTGTATTCTTTGACTTAATATCTATCAATTTTAAAAATGGCAGATATGATATTTTAAAAGGGATTGGAGATTCATGTCTTGTATTTTTGCTCTAGTTCTTTCAAGTGTAAGCATGGAAGTAAATTGATTGTTGTAGGACCCTCCTGAACCTCCAGCACGTCCTTTCCATCATTATGACCTTGGTGACAATGATACCATCACCTCACTGGACTTCAACAACTCGCTTCGTCTGAACTCTCCTGGCGAGGGTCACACAGAAGGTGTTAGTCCACGTGTACGTGGTGAGGTGACTGGTGATTTGTATACACAGGTACGGAAGAGTTCCACGGGGACGCTAGAAGAAGAAGAAAACAATGCGACGTCTGTGATAAACAATAGGTCTCTGTCGAAGACGGAAGAAATTCATTCATCCTTCTCCTCACCAAGGGGAGCTAACTCACCACTTGGAAACAGGTCTGTGTTTGGTACTTCATATCAAGGAGATGACGATAGCGGAGAAAGTAGTATGTTCGCTGATATTTTAACCAAAATCAACCGTCATTTTAGTAGAGAAAATGATCAGAAGGACCTTGACAGCCTGAATCAAGATAATTTTCGAATAGAAAGTGATCATTTCAGTTCGGAAAATGAACATTTTACAGCTAGCTCAGAAAACACACAAGATGATATAGAACATTTATTATGTGAAAACGGACTTAATGAAATTGTGGAAGATAGTGACTCAGATAAAAATACAGATACTGCATACAACAGTGGCGTTAACTCGGAAAACAGTTCCCTGGAACGGAAGAACCGAGGCAGTGATCAAGGATCTCTTACACATTCCCAGAACGACCTTGACACCATGAGTCAGGCGACCGACATACTTGTGAGTCCCCTTGAGGACTCGGTTTCTTTTCCTGACTCGAATAACCTAGTACATATAGAGGTCACGAGTCCTAGTGAGGATTCAAACTGTCAAAATATGGACCAGTCAGATAATGGAATTTCCTTATTGGACCAATCAGATGCTGGCGATTCTGTGCATGTGATTGAAGTCATGGAGGATGACAAGACAGGCTTCAGTGGTTCGGAAAACAAGAAGGATTCGATAGATAATAAAGCATCCCGTGATCAATGTGATTCAGCAATATATGAGGCGGAGATTGACTGTGAGGAGCCAGCACAGGTGACATTACAGAAAGTGGAGCAGCTACGTACACATCTCGTGGAACTGAAGGAAAAAAGGTGAAAACCTCTTTTACAGGGTTTAACAGTTAGAAATAAAACTCTCTAATATTAAACTGTACCAAGTTTTTGTAATAAAGTTTGATAATAACAGACCAAGTTTTTGTAGTAAAGTTTGATAATAACAGACCAAGTTTTTGTGGTAAAGTTATGATAATAACAGACCAAGTTTTTGTGGTAAAGTTATGATAATAACAGACCAAGTTTTTGTGGTAAAGTTTGACAATAACAGACCAAGTTTTTGTGGTAAAGTAGAAATTCTGCTTTTTAAGAAAAAGTCTTTCTGATGTAGAAACACAATGTAATGGTAATGTGTTACTGTAAAAACAACCATTTTTGTTGGGATTAATTTTCTCTGATTTCATTGGTACTCTTATACCACAAATTCATATGTCCATGAACTATTAAAATAAATAGGAGTAGGTTTATTGAGCTATATCTATCTAGGAAATCAAGTATCCACCAAATACATGTAGTCATTTTTTCAAAAAATAAAAAAAAATTGAGACCTACAAAAACATCAATGTTACAGTGATTTTAAAGAAATCTTAGAAGGAAGGCATTACAAACTGTTCTAATTTTATAGAAACACCTACATGCTAATATACAAATATTTCTGATGTTGTAGAATATTGGTGCGTGATCAGAAGAATCAGATGGAGACTGGATGTGAGCGCGACTCCCTGGAGGAGGAATATCTCCAACTTGATCATGAGTGTAAACACGTTGCCACACAGATCTCCATCTTGGAGCAGCAAGTGGCCTGAGACAGTCTCAATGATGTTATCACTATGTCTGCCTTAAATAAAAATCTAGACTCATAACCACAGAATACAAATTGTCAGGAATATTGAAACCAGAAGTTTTTTTATCAACTCAGAATGAATTTGATATCGGAAATATCAGAAATTTTGTGTAATGTTGATGTTTAAGTGATTTTTTGTATAGAAAGTTATCTCCAGTGTCTTTGATATCTATTGCCCTCCCACTTCATCACATTTATTGATGTCAAGAACTTCCATTGATACAGATTTGTTGTATCATGTGCTATTTGTAAACCAATCACAGCAGTATAGATCTGTAACACTTTCGAGATATGCGACGTCTGAACGTGATGCAATTCAAATGCACCCTATACAAGTATCCCAGACTTCTGTACATATCTCAGAATTCTGTACATTATTGTTCAGTGCTATGTATTTCTGAATATTTCTTTTAAACGGTAAGAGAGCTAAACTTTCACCAAGTGCTATCTATAAATAGATTTATTTTGGGTCTTCTGTAACAATCAGTGCTTATATGTGAAGACAACATTTATAAAGTACAAATGTAAATTGTACCCTTATATTCCGCACAAAGAAATAAGAATGTCTTTGATTGTCCTGCGGTATATCAAATTTAAGCTTATCATGAAGATCAGAATGGTATTTTTTCTTAGCCAAAAGAAATCAACTTCTTGATAATTAATATAAATATGCAAGTAATAGAGATTCAGGTAGAGGTGACGATTAAACATGGCAAGATTTTTTTATAATCAATAGAAAAATTTACTATTTCACTGAAATGTTATGTTAAATGTATAAATATAAAGTTGTGAAATGTGGTACATGTTGTGATAAAAAAATCAAAAAAATTAAAATCAAATTATTTTCAAGTTTCATCAACGATTCGATAAAAATCAAATGGCCTGAAATATTGAATCTTTTTTTTTTTTTTTCAAAATATTGCTGTATATCATAAATACAAATTGAAATAGAAAGCAATTTAAAAATCAAACCTTGTTTATTCAAAATTAAATGCTTTTTGCAATAATTTTACCATTATCTTTAAATGATTGTGTTTTCATTTATCACTAGTTCTGTAGAAAGAGGTAGGGGCTAGCTACCTGCAGCTATGGAGTTGAGGTTGTTTTTTCCAGGTATTTTAATGTTTTGTTAAAATAGACTTGTGTTTTGTTAGACATTTTAAGGTTGTGCTTTTTTTATCATGATAATGTTGATGTAGTGATTACACTGTTAATGATCTATACAACTACACTAGCTGTAGATTATCTTTTGTACTGCACAGCATTTATTATCTTGGGATTTCAACATTTTGAAGATTATACAGAATACTGTAACATCAGTAATTTTTGTGGGCGATTTATTTTCATTGATTTTGTGGGTACTTTTGATCTGTGAATACGTATGTCCAGACTGTTAAGATATGTATAAGTTGATTCAATGAGCCATATTTATCCACAATATTAAATGTCCATGGACCAGCAATTTTTACAACTGGGCCCCACAAAAATAAATGATTTAACAGTAGTTTGTTTATCACCCAGTCCTGATGTCTACTACAGGTATTGCTGGGTTTAGTGCCCTGCCAGGGTCATTTGGAGGCAAAATCTTCTTGTAGTAGTCGGTGGTTACTTCATCACACAACATATGGGAGGCCCATGACATGCTATTCAAAGCAAATGGGGTAAATTGTCTTGCCCAAAGACACAACAACAATAATACAAGTTGTTCTGTGATCTCCTGGTAGACACAAACTACCCTGAGATTGAATGACACCAAAGATTTTTACCTGACGTTAGGAATAGACAGACCAATGTTCTGATGATAAATATAGATTTGCCCGGAAAGGGATCAAATATATACACCCCCACCCCCGATTTTCATCTGAGATGGAAATATCTGATGCTCAACGACTGAGCTGTCATGGCTCCGAGAAATAATTATAGAAGAAAGAATATATAATTATATCACTCATACTCCTGGAGGAGACTACTATAAGGTTGCTTACCTTCGACTGCTTGCATATTTCTCTATGTATCTACCAATAAGCTGTCATATTTTAAAGAAAGATTTCCAAATGATGTTCTTTTGGAAGAAATAGGCAAAACAAATTTAAATAAACCAAACCTCTACATACAGTGTAACATGTTTATGGTCATCGCATCAGTATTGTATTCTAACTGTTTACCGTGTTATTTGTAAACCAATTTAGACATGAAATCATCCAGAAATTCATGCTGTGCAGTAAATATTATAACCTGTCATCCCTAAATATCTTACTTATGGACTTGTCGAAATGGACTGAGTACATTTCAACAGTGTAGGGGTGACAGGTACTGTTAAGTTTGTATATCTAGATGCATTCATCATTGTTTTATATTTTATTGCTATTCATATATATTTATCGTATGATTCCACGATATTTTTGTATTTTTTGGTGTGTTGTCTTATTCGACCAACTTAAAATGATATTGTAAAGAGAGTTAGAGCTTTTACAGTAAAACTTATCACAGTTATATATCAACATTTACAGTACAAAACAATATTATTAGGAAAGCAGATTAATTCCTTAGAGAAATGTTTTCAAATACTGAAATTTTCATAGTTTCTGTAATTATCTGGGCGTATTGCTACAAAAATTTTAGGTGGCTTTATTGCAACAGTGAAAATTTATCAAAACAAAAAAGTGTTAGTGGATTTTGATCTTGTAACTTTCTGAACTCATTAATTGGTTTTTATTCAAGCCTTTTAAAGAAAATATGGATTTTTTCCTTTTTTTTTTGTCTTGCATATCATCAGTATTTGAAAAAAAAAATTTTGAATAATCTGGTCTATTGTTTGATTTTCTTGTTTTCTCTGAAACTGATTCAAAACTATTATTGGAACATTGTTTAGAAAGCTTGGAACAGGGTTTAGTAGGAAGTAAAATTAAAAAAGAAGTCTAGCCATATCATTGTAAAGTTAAAGGTGAGACAGGAAGTGCCTCTTGAGGGTTAAAGGTTACAGGGTCATATTCAGTTTGATTCTGTTAAAGGTGAGACAGGAAGTGCCTCTTGAGGGTTTAAGTCTACAGGGTCATATTCAGTTTGATTCTGTTAAAGGTGAGACAGGAAGTGGTTCTTGAGGGTGAAAGGTTACAGGGTCATATTCAGTTTGATTCTGTTGGTCGTGAAGTGAACAAGTGTTTCATAGATATAGGTAGATTCTTGTTTTTCAAGTGAGATAAATATTACAAGTATCTTTTTTTTTTGAGATCTTTGTGAAATATGTTTATAATTATATATTATTTCCTATAATCAAATATTGTTGTATTTAGTTTAAATGTGTTCTTGAAGTGTTGGAAACACTATTTAAGAATGATATTTAGTTTAAGAAAATACAGTGTTTTATACTGACGTCATGTGTTACATGTGGGGGATCGATGTATAGTGATAAAGTGTTGGAAACACTATGTAATTACAAATGTCCTATCTATCAGGTTTTCCTTCAAAAGGATTCAACATTAGTGTTTGTAGAGTATGTGGTCTAATAGATATATATATATACACAGTTATAGCTGTAGGTTTGACTTATATTTTCAGTATCCTGAAGGGTAAATTATAAGCGATATGGGCGATAGGTACAATATAAGGACATGAGGATTGGAACTTTGTAGGGTTTTAGGGAAAAAGGATTGTGAAGGGAAAACTGGGTATTCTCCCAAACTTAACTGATGAATTACATTTTTGACAGCTTACACACACTTTTATTCTAAAAACAACACTATTCACCACAATAGGGTTGCTTTATCATATCTCTAGGATTGTGGTATAACCAAGTTGAAATGGAATAATGTTCCATTGGCTATTACTTATGATGCTATAAAGTCACTTCACCGCAATAAACTCAGCATCAGATCAACGGAAAAAATAGTAATCAATCACCTCTGTGTGATGAGGACAGAGATCTGTCAATCCGTGGGAAAATATAAATTTATCACTCTGCAGGATTCTTTTAACACCGAGATGGTAAGATGTTTCAGGGATGAAGTTTCTGGTACGGATGTTGCTTATTATCTTAAAACGTCTGAACACTTGCAAAATTACTGTTACAAGCTTTCATCTCTATAAAAATATTAATTGATGTATTTCTAAATGTGAAAATTTTATTGGGAACTAGATCAACCAGTAGTCGCCATTGTTTATCAGGGGAGACAACTGTTGGAGGTAAAAATCATGTGTGTTTGTGCTACATTCCCAGCTATATCTGTGGGCTGTCCTTTATCTTTTGTCTGTCCAACATACCGTATTTATCTTGTAATAAGCCCTGGGGGCCACCACAAAAAAACTTTTAATCAAAGTTTGGAATGGACAGTGAAATATCATTTGTTGGCATATTTATTGAGTTGCATTAGTTATGGGTGGGCTTATTACCAGACACTTTTTTTTGTCAGATTCATAGTACATGTATTTTATCTTAATCAGTAACCCTGGTAACACATCATCCATTTTATTCCAGTCCCATTCCTGTTGCTAGTCATGGTTTCTATGGTAACATTTTATGCTGAAGTCTAGACACTTGATTAGTTTATCCTTGTAGTTTTCAATGGGACTCCTCCAATATTCTCTGGCCCGGATGCTCCACCCATTGGATATCTGGGCTGCAAAATGTGCAATTATTAAACCATTGATTTATCCGTTTCTACACAGTATTGCAAAAGCTTGTATAACTTGTTGATAGTCTCCTCCATGTTTCTTCCGTTGTGATCGTTTATCTGTCAGCTATTGGAATTAGAACCTTCACTGAGTAGATAAACACAAGTAGTGATCAATGTTGTGAATCATTTGTCTTTACGGGCACACTGATAATTTTATTGAAGGTCATTCAAGGTTATCGTGGTACCAGGTGACGATACACTGACCAGACAAAGCCAGAATTAATGAAGGTCAGTCAAGGTCAGACATGTAGCAGACGACCTTACACTGACCAGACAGAGCCACAATTAA